TGCACAAGTAGTGCAACACCCTCTTAGCGGCATCCATGTGCTCCTTCCGGTGACGGCCAGGAGCGACATAGCGTGCTAGGATGCTAAGAGGGTACGCAAGGTCAGGTCGAGTGCAGGTCATTAGGTACATGAGGCAGCCCACAAGCTCTGGATACGGGCCACTCGGCTCTACGGACTCATCCGAAGGCAGAGCTGAGAGCGAGTGACCGGTAGGCAGAGGAGTGGGCTGAGGCGAGGAGTACGTGAAGCGGAAGCGCTGAAGGACCTGCTGCACCATGTGTGACTGAGTCAAGGTGATGGTGCGCTGTGCTCTGTCCCGGGTGATCCGCAAGCCAAGATAGCTTGTCAGCTCACCCAGGTCTGTGCACGTGTGTCTCTTCTGCAGCTCCGACTACATGTGGGCGAGTGCCTCAGTGTCAGCAGTAGCAAAGACCAAGTCGTCTACGTACACGAGAACGTAGAAAGGCGGCAGAGTGGTGTCGGTGCGTAGAAACAGCGACGGGTCAGCAGTAGAAGGAGCAAACCCAAGAGCAGCAAGACTAGTCCTCAGTGTGTTCTGCCACTCATGGGGTGCCTGGCGGAGACCGTAGACTGGCCGCCGGAGGCTCCACTGGGTACCAGCAGGGAACGACCCAGTGAAGCCAGGTGGGCGGCGCAGCCAGATCTCCTCGTGCAGGCTGCCCTGTAGGAAAGCAGTGCTGAAGTCAAGAGAGTGGAGCTCGTAGTCACGCTGAGCGGCGACGTGCAGCAGAACCCGAAGAGTGGTCATCTTCGGGGTCGGGGAGAAGGTCTGGAAGAAGTCAACTCCCTCTCGCTGACTGAAGCCTCGTGCAACGTAACGCGCCTTGAAGACAGGCGGAGAACCCGGCGGCCGCTTCACCCTGAAAATCCACATGCCACTGACGATGTTCGCCCCAGGTGGGGGAACCTCGTCGACGTAGGTGCCTGTGGACTTCCAGGAAGCCATCTCTGCGTCCATGGCTGTCTGCCACTGAGAGGAGTAGGGACCCTCTATCGCCTCTGCGTAAGAGCGCGGGGTCGGGATGTCTGGTGCATCCAGGTCTCCCTCAGGGGCAATCAGCATGGACACGAGATGAGGTAAAGCAGCGGCAAAGCACTCAAACTCCTCCTATCTGTCCTCAAGGACGTCCGTGCCAAGAGCACACTCACCCCCGACGGACGGAGGACAGACAGACTCAGACTCAGCAACAAGGCTAGCGGCGTAGTCTAGACGACAGGCGGCAGCAAAGTCAACAAGCTCAGCAACTAGGGCAGACGCAGCAGTGGACTCAAAGTCAGGGTCAGTGACAACAGTAGCGAGAAGACGCGTGACAGTAGGACTGGCAGCACGAGCAAGGTCTGACGGCGGGTCAGCAAGGGCAGGAAGAGAGGACGCAGGAGGAGACGGCAGAGGGACACGCTGTGGAGCAGTGGAAGGACGCAGAGTCATATAGTGAGTGCCAAGTACAGGAGGAGGACGCTGACGCGGAGCACGACGACCAGCGCGGACAGCGCGGACAAGCGACTCTAGACGAGACTCAGGTGACTCAGGACGAGACTCAGGCGACGCAGGACGAGACTCAGGCTCACGACGCTCCGTAAGACCTCTAGTCGGCCCAGCGTAGGGAGAAGGACCAGGCAGTGGAGAGGCAAGCGGTAACTGTGACTGCGACTGGACCGGTGGTGGACTCAGTAGGGGAGGAGAAGGACCAGTGGAGGGCGGGAGGCCAAGAACCTGCTGAAGGAGCGGAACGTAGTACGGCCGCGGCCGCTCGGCACCTCCTGAACCAGCAGAGACAGCACCAGCACCCTCAGCCCCAGGGTCTCCAGCACCAACTCCCGCAGCACCACCAGCAACCCCAGCAGCTCCAGTACCTCCAGCTCCAACCCCCGCAGCAGCTCCAGTACCTCCAGTACGAGCACCTCCAGAACCAGCGGCTCCAGCACCAGCAGTACCTCCAGTAGCTCCAGCACCAGCAGCACCTCCAGCACCAGCAGCGCCTCCAGCAGCTCTAGCATCAGCAGCACCTCCAGCACCAGTAGCGTCTCCAGCAGCTCCAGCTCCAGCAGCACCTCCAGCAGCACCACCAGCAGCACCAGCACCAGCACCAGCTCCAGCTCCAGGGTCCGCGGCACCAGCCGCAGCTCCAGCTCCAGGGTCCGCGGCACCAGCAGCGGCTCCAGCTCCAGGGTCCTCAGCACCAGCAGCAGCTCCAACTTCAGGGTCGGTAGCACCAGCAGCACCACTCTGGAGACTGCAGCGCCGAGCGTACCACTCTCGGAGCCGCTGGGGAGAGGGCAGCTCCCGCCTAGGCGGGGAACCACGAGCACCAGCTCCAGCAGCACCCCTAGCCCCAGAAGCGCCCCTCCTGAGGCTGCAGTACCGCGAGTACCACTCACGCAGCTGCTGGGAAGAGGGAGCGCCTCCAGGCGCAGCACGGTCAGTCGCAGCACCCCCAGGCTCAGTACCCTCAGACGTAGCACTCTCAGGCTCAGCACCCCCAGACTCAGCAACCTCAGGCTCAGCACCCCCAGGCTCCGCACCCCCAGGCTTAGCACCCCCAGGCTCCGCACGCTCAGGCTCAGCACCCCCAGGCTCCGCACCCCCAGGCTCCGCACGCTCAGGCTCAGCACCCCTAGCAGGACGAGAGTCGACAGCTACCTCGACAGGCTCAACCGGGTCTACCTGGGACACACCTGAGGGAGCGGCACCCTGAGGGGGGAGGGGGTCTACCACAGCAGCACCTGGTGCAAGGAAGAGAGGCGGGGGGGGGAGCGGGGCAGTGCGGTAGGGGAAGAGGCGGTAGTAGGGGACCGACTCATCGAAAGTGACGTCCTGAGAGGGCAGGACACGGCGCGAGGTGGCGTGGTAAAACTGCCAACCAGACGGGTCCGGGACAAAGCCAAGGAAGACACAAGGAACAGCGCGGGAGGAGAGCTTGTCCGCGGACGTATCGCGGACAAAAGCACGAGATCCCCAGACCCGGAAACGCGACGCATCGCCAACCTTCCCCGTCCACAGCAGTGTGGGCGAGGTCTCTGGCAAGGAGACATGGGGCCAGAGGTTGAGCTGATGCGCGGCGTACCGGACCGCAAACGGCCACAGAAAGTGGGGGGCAGCCGCATGGATCAAGGAGGTACGAGCGACCTCCATGACCAAGCCAATGCGGCGCTCAGCAACCCCATTCTGCTGTGGAGAGGCCGGAAGCGTGAACGACTGCTCAATGCCCTCCCCCTGACAGAAGGCCCTCAAGAGGTCGGAGGAAAACTCCCCACCTCTGTCAGAGTGCAGACGCAGGACAGGAAAGTCCGAGTGGAACCTCTCGCTGAGCTGGAGACAAGCAGCGCGGATCCAAGGGATCAAAACATCAGGGACTTCACCCTTGGTGCGCAAGGGGAAGACCATGGTGTAGCGCGAGTAGTCGTCAACAACTATCAAGAAGTACCTCTCGTGACCCTGTCCACGGACGCGGGCTGGGCCCCACACGTCCATGTGGAGCGTCTGCAGGGGAGCAGTCGTCGGGGGAAACGAGGAGGAGTGAGGAGCGGCGCGCTGCCGCCCCTCGACACAGGGAAGACAGGGAGGAGCAGGCGAGGGTGGGAGGGGAGGGAGAACCCTGGGAAGACCAGAGACAAGGTACCGGGAGTGCATGCCACGAAGGCGCTGCACTGACGGGTGACCAAGGCGGTGGTGCCAGAGGACGGTCTCGTGCGCCAGGGAGCGACACGAGCGCAACTACCTGAGGGGACTCAGTGGTCAGTGTGTACAGGTCCGACCCCGGCTGCCGAGTGAAGGTAGCCAGGTGGCGACCCGTCCGAGCGCACGTGCAGTGTGTCACGCGCTCGTAGGCAGGGGTGAACTGGTGGACACCCCCGTCCTGGAGCGCACTACTCGCCACCAAGTTCGTAGAGAACGAGGGGAGGTAGAGACCTGACAGTGTCCCCGACGGGACCGCAGGACAAGGGAGGACAGTGGAGGAGGTCGCAATGACCGGACCCCCAGAGGGGTCAGCGAGGGAGACTGCAACCGGCCGAGCAAGCTGCTCAAGGGCAGTGCGGTCACGAAAGAAACAGCGGGAAGCACCTGAGTCCAGTGTGAAGGTGTGCAGTGCCTCAGTAGACGCAGTACCAGAGGGTGCAGACTCACGAGTACCTAGAGCAGCAGCCTCACCAGCACCTGGGGCAACAGACACACTAGCACCTAGAGCGGCAGCCTCACCAGCACCTGAGGCAACAGACACACGAGCACCTAGTGCGGCAGCCTCACCAGTACCTAGAGCAGCAGACTGGATACCGGGGTCAGGCGGCACACTCAGGTGACAGGCACCCTCAGCACTAGTAGACAATGCATACATGGCAGTGAGGAGAGCATCATAGTCAAGAGCAAAGATATCTACCCTCTACCTAAGCAGCTCCAGCCAGGAGGGGAGCTCAGCGTCGTCGCCAAACTCTGTACGCCAAGCGTCGCTCAGACGGGCGAAGCAGCGGGACTCTGTGCGACTAGGTGTCCCGCAAGGCTGACCAGTCCGGACACCTGTGCGAATGACGTAAGGGCAGCGAGCAGGACTCAGTGACCCGCTACTCTGAGCGTACCACTCACGAAGCTGCTGGGGCGAAAGAGCCTCGCGGGGACGATGCTGCAGCTGCACCTGGCCACTACTAGAAGCTCCCGAACGACCAACTCCAGAGCGACTCCCACTACGGCCACCCCGACAGCCCCAACTAGCGTACTGTTTAAGTTATATTTAATATATCCTGCTTGCTGTAGTTACTATAGTGTAGTTATCTGATTGTTTGCTTGGTGGTGCACCTGTTTGTGTGCTATATGTACCTTTGGTCCTATAGTGAACCCAACCATTCTTCAATTCTCCTTGGCACAAACTACTCGACACCCGCTTGGCCTAGGCTACTAAGCCTAGGCCCTTAGTTAAACCCGGTTCCTAGTTAACTTAGTATCGTAACATGGTAACAGAGCGTAGTTCCTTCTAGGACCTGCGATTTTATGGGCCCACCAACCCGTAATCCTCGCGTCCCCAGTTCGTAGCGCGTTTCCCGTCCAGTCCGCCCAAGATCGTCGCGTTCTGCCCATGGCGTCCGCGGCCCATAGCGAACGCGCTAGCGAGCCCGCCAGCGAATCCGTTGACGGACCCGCCAGCGAGCACGCCAACGATGGGGGGGGAAGCGAATCGACGAGCCCGCCGACGAGCCCGCCACCGAGCCCGCCAGCGGAACCGCTCGATCCCGCCAGCGGAAACGCCAGCGAGCCCGCCGACGAGCCCGCCAGCGGACACGCCAGCACGCCAGCGATTCCGCCACCGGCCCGCCAACGCGCCAGCACCTACGCGCGCTGTCACCGTTTCGTCCCCGTCGCCTCCCTGTCCCCCCCCCCCCCCGTCCCGTTTTCTTCCCTCCCGTCGCCTCGCACTGCCCGTCGCATTTCCCCGGCCCCCTGCCCGTCCCTCCCCCCCCGTCGCGACTGTTCGCGTGTGCAGCGGCGGTCGCTGTGGGTGGGAGAGGGAGGAGGGGAAGGGAGTGGCGGCGGAATGCTGTGGGGGAGAGAGGGAAAGGGGGAAGGGAGTGGCGGCGGAATGCTGTGGGGGGGAGAGGAAAAGGGGGAAGGGAGTGGCGGCGGAACACCAGCACCAGCGCCAGCCGCCAGCACCAGCACCAGCTCCAGGGCCAGCCGCCAGCACCAGCACCAGCTCCAGGGCCAGCCGCCAGCACCAGCACCAGCTCCAGGGCCAGCCGCCAGCACCAGCACCAGCTCCAGGGCCAGCCGCCAGCACCAGCACCAGCTCCAGGGCCAGCCGCCAGCACTAGCACCGACTCCAGGGCCAGCCGCCAGCACCAGCACCAACTCCAGGGCCAGCCGCCAGCACCAGCACCAGCTCCAGAACCCCGCCAGCAGAGAACCCCACCAGCAGAGAACCCCGCCAGCAGAGAACCCCGCCAGCAGAGAACCCCACCAGCAGAGAACCCCGCCGGCAGAGAACCCCACCAGCAGAGAACCTCGCCAGCAGAGAACCCCGCCAGCAGAGAACCCCGCCAGCAGAGAACCCCACCAGCAGAGAACCCCGCCAGCAGAGAACCCCGCCAGCAGAGAACCCCGCCAGCAGAGAACCCCACCAGCAGAGAACCCCACCAGCAGAGAACCCCGCCAGCAGAGAACCCCGCCAGCAGAGAACCCCGCCAGCAGAGAACCCCGCCAGCAGAGAACCCCGCCAGCAGAGAACCCCACCAGCAGAGAACCCCACCAGCAGAGAACCCCGCCAGCAGAGAACCCCGCCAGCAGAGAACCCCGCCAGCAGAGAACCCCGCCAGCAGAGAACCCCACCAGCAGAGAACCCCACCAGCAGAGAACCCCGCCAGCAGAGAACCCCGCCAGCAGAGAACCCCGCCAGCAGAGAACCCCGCCAGCAGAGCACCACCCTCTGCCCTGCCTCTCCCCTCCCGCGGCTGCTACTGTGGGGGGTAGGTGGCGGGAGCGAGGGGGTGGGAGGGCTGGCTGCAGTGTGAAGGACAGGGCAGAGACAACTGTGGGTGGGGCAGGGGTGTGGAGGAAGGAAGGGAGGGAGGGGGTGCGGTCCCAGGGGGTGGCTGAAATGGGGGGTGAGGTTGAAGGAGGGTGGTTGATTGGGGGTGGGGATGTGGGGGTTTGTAAGAGGGGACGCTGCGGCCACCCCCCCACCTCCTCTCCTCATCCCCCACTCAACCCCCCTTTCGTAAAAGGGGGTTAGTAAGAGGGGACGCCGCGGCCACCCCCCCACCTCCTCTCCTCATCACTCACTCACCTCCTCTTGTGTTCTTATCTCCTCTTCACTCCTCTCTCCCTCTCGCCGCCTCCCCTCACGTACCCCTCTACCGTCTCCCACCGTGCCTGCTCTACCCCTTCAGGGGGTGTTGACTGCACTAGTTATTACTGCAAGCAGGCTAAGGGGGTGTGTTTAAGTTATATTTAATATATCCTGCTTGCTGTAGTTACTATAGTGTAGTTATCTGATTGTTTGCTTGGTGGTGCACCTGTTTGTTTGCTATATGTACCTTTGGTCCTATAGTGAACCCAACCATTCTTCAATTCTCCTTGGCACAAACTACTCGACACCCGCTTGGCCTAGGCTACTAAGCCTAGGCCCTTAGTTAAACCCGGTTCCTAGTTAACTTAGTATCGTAACACGTACCACTCACGAAGCTGCTGGGGCGAAAGAGCCTCGCGGGGACGACGCTGCAGCTGCACCTGTCCACTACCAGAAGCTCCCAAACTACCCACTCCAGAGCAACTCCCACTACGGGCACCCCGACAGCCCCAACTAGCGTACCACTCACGAAGCTGCTGGGGCGTGAGGGACTCACGCGCACGGCCCTGGAGCTGCATCTGGCCACGCCAGGAGCAGCAGTAGCAGCAGTAGTGGCAGTAACAGCAGTAGCAGTAGGAGCAGTAGCAGTGGGAGCAGTAAAAGCAGTAGTAGCAGTAGCAGCGGTAGCAGCGCGGGCAGGGCAGTGCTCACCAGTGGTGGGAAGGGCAGGCGCAAGACGGTGGCGACAGCGGGGCCGCTACTGCTGCAGGGCGGGGCCGGGCTGCGGCAGGGAGCTCTGCGGCAGCTGCTGCAGGGCGGGGCCGGGCCGCGACGGCAGCTGCTCCAGGGGCCAGGGGCGGCTGCTGCAGGGGCGGCTGCTCCAGGGGCCAGGGGCGGCTCCTGCAGTGGCGGCTGCTCCAGGTGGCCAGGGGCGGCTGCTGCAGGGGCGGCTGCTCCAGGGTCCAGGGGCGGCTGTAGGTGCGGCTGCTCCAGGGGCCAGGGGCTGCTGCTGCAGTGGCGCCTGCTCCAGGGGCCAGGGGCGGCCGTCCCAAGGGCGGGCGCGGGGTAGGGCAGGGCGCCGCGGCGAGCAGGGGCGACTCCGCGCGGGTCCCAGTGGCGACGCGCGGGTCGCGCGGGGGCGTCGCGACGAGGCAGGGGCGACGCACGCGGGTCCCGCAGAAGCGCCGTGACGAGGCGGGGGCGACGCGCGGGTCCCGCAGGGTCGTCGCGACGAGGCAGGGGCGACGCGCGGGTCCCGCAGAGGCGTCGCGACGAGGCAGGGGCGACGCGCGGGTCCCGTAGAGGCGTCGCGATGAGGCAGGGGCGACGCGCGGGTCCCGCAGAGGTGTCGCGCGGGTCCCGCAGAGGCGACGCGACGAGCAGGGCGACGCGTCGCGGGGTCCAGGGGCCGCGCCGCGTGCAGCCTAGCGTGCGGCCGTGCGGGCGGCTTCGCGTGCGGCCTAACGTGCGGCTGCGCGTGCGGCTTAGTGGGCAGGCGGCGCGCGCGTCTGTCCTAGGGCGCACGACGGCGCTAGAAGGGGCGCACGACGGCGCTAGAAGGGGCGCACGACGGCGCTAGAAGGGGCGCACGACGGCGCTAGAACGGGCGCACGACGGCGCTAGAAGGGGCGCTCGACGGCGCGGGTAGGGGCGCACGACGGCGCGAGGTACTATCAGACACGGTCGCGCAAGGGCGCGGCGGAACGGTGGGCCCTAACCAACGTCGGTCCTAGGTCCTGACCTAGGCGTCGGATACCATGTTAGAATGTAGAACTGAACGAGAATGAATGAACTAGGCAGCAGGGTGATACAAGTAGGAAACCCTAGCAATGTTGTACCCCCTAAGGCTAAACCCACTATAGCCTACACAATATAAACATGTATGATGTTTGACAATTAACCCCTTGGCCGAGCTATGGCCAAATTATTAACCCCTTGGCCGAGCCATTAACACAATGGCCGAGCTATGGCGGAGCCACTAACCCCTTGGCCGAACCATTGACCCCTTGGCCGATCCATTAGCCCCTTTGCCGAGCTATGGCCAAGCCATTAAACCCTTGGCCGAGCTATGCCAAGCCATTAACCCCTTGACCGAGGGCCAAGCCATTAACCCATTGGCCGAGCTAGGGCCAAGCCATTAACCCGTTGGCCGAACAATGGCCAAGCCATTCACCCCTTGCCCGAGCAATTAACCCCTTGGCCGAGCTATGGCCAAGCTTTTAACCCCTTGGACGAGCCACTAACCCCTTAGCCGAGCCATTGACCCCTTGGCCCAGCTATGGCCGGGCCATTAACCCCTTGGCCTAGCTATGGCCAAGCCATTAACTCTTTGACTGAGCTATGGCCAAGCCATTCACCCCTTGGCCGAGCTATGGCCAAGCCATTAACCCATTGGCCAAGATATGTCCAAGCCATTAACCCCGTGGCCGAGATATGGCCAAGCCATTAACCCCTTGGCCGAGCCACTAACCCCTTGGCAGAGCTATGACCGAGCCATTAACTCCTTGGCCGAGCCATGGCCAAGCCATTGACTCCTTGGCTGAGATATGGCCAAGCCGTTAACCCATTGCCCGAGCTATGGCCAATCCATTCACCCCTTGGCTAAGCTACAGCCAAGCCATAAATCCGTCGGCCAAGCTATGGCCAAGCCATTTACCACTTGGCCGAGCAATTAGCCCCTTGGCCGAGCTATGGCTAATCCATTAACCCCTCGGCTGAGCCAATGCCTGAGCCATTACCCCTTTGGCGAGCCATTCACCCCTTGGCCGAGGTGTGGCCAAGTCATTAACCCCTTGGCCGAGGTATGGCCAAGCCATTAACCCATTGGCCGAGCCATTAACCCCTTGGCCAAGCTAAGGCCAAGCCATTAACCCCTTGGCCGAGCAATGAATTCCTTGGCCGGTCTATGGCCAAGCCATTATCCCCTTGGCCGAGCCACTAACCCCTTGCCGAGCTATGTCCAAGCCATTAACCCCTTGGCCGAGCCATTAACCCCTTGGCTGAGCTATGGCCGAGCCATTAACCCCTTGGCCGAGCCAATAACCCCTTGGCCGAGCTATGGCCAATGCATTAACTCCTTGGCCAAGCTATGGCCAAGCCATTCACCCCTTGGCCAAGCAATGGACAAGCCAATAACCCCTGGGCCGAGCCATTATCCCCTTGGCTGAGCTATGGCCAAGCCATTCACCCCTTGGCCGAGCCATTAACCCCTTGGCCAAGCTATGGTTAAGCCATGTACCCCTTGGCCGAGCCACCAACCCCTTGGCCGAGGTATGTCCAAGCCAGTAACCCCGTGGCCAAGATATGGCCAAGCCATTAACCCCTTGGCCGAGCTATGGCCAAGCCATTAACCCCTTGGCTGAGCTATGGCCAAGCCATTAACCCATTGGCCGAGATATGTCCAAGCCATTAACCCTGTGGCCGAGATATGGCCAAGCCTTTAACCCCTTGGCCGAGCCACTAACCCCTTGGCAGAGCTATGTCCAAGCCATTAACCCCTTGGCCGAGCCACTAACCCCTTGGCAGAGCTATGTCCAAGCCATTAACCCCTTGGCCGAGCCAATAACCCCTTGGCCAAGCCATTAACCCCTTGGCCGAGCCATGGCCAAGTCATTCACCCCTTGGCCAAGCTATGGCCAAGCCATTAACCCCTTGGCCAAGCTATGGCCAAGCCATTAACCCCTTGGCCGAGCTATGGCCAAGCCATTGACTCCCTGGCTAAGATATGGCCAAGCCATTACCCCATTGGCCGAGCTATGGCCAATCCATTCACCCCTTGGCTGAGCTACAGCCAAGCCATGAATCCGTTGGCCGAGCTATGGCCAAGCACTTGGCCAAGCAATTAGCCCCTTGGCCGAGCTATGGCTAAGCCATTCACCCCTTGGCCGAGGTATGGCCAAGCCATTTACCCCTTGGCCGAGGTATGGCCAAGCCATTGACCCCTTGGCCGAGCCACTAACCCCTTGGCCAAGCTATGGCCAAGCCATTAACCCCTTGGCCGAACCACTAACCCCTTGGCGGTGCTATGTCCAAGCCATTAACCCCTTGGCCGAGCCATAAACCCCTTGGCCGAGCTATGGCCGAGCCATCAACCCGTTGGCCGAGCTATGGCCAAGCCATTAACCCCTTGGCCGAGCTATGGCCAAGCTTTTTAACCCTTGTCCGAGCCATTAACCCCTTGTCCGAGCTATGACCGAGCCATTAACTCCTTGGCCGAGCCATTAACCCCTTGGCCGAGCTATGGCCAGGTCATTAACCCCTTGGCCGAGCCATTAACACAATGCCCGAGCTATGGCGGAGCCACTAACCCCTTGGCCGAGCTATGGCCGAGCCATTAACCCCTTGGCTGAGCTATGGCCAAGCCATTCACTGGTATCAGAGCGTCTCAACCTTATACGCGGACCTTGATCTTCCTACCGTTGCGGAATCATCTCCCGCACTCGTCGGCGAAACCGCCTTCAACATTCGTCGCTCGACGTAAAGCATCGTCATTGACCTAATCTTCCTGGCCGAAATTTCTCCCGCGCCGTCTTCGTCGCCGGTGATTCGCGACATCTTCCGTGGGCAGATTCTCTCCCGCGCTTCCTTTCCCGCAGTTATGAGGCACCGATTTCTGCATCTCGCTTAAAGTAACCGTCGGTACCATTTCCTCGCCGCTCTCCCTCATCATCGCGGTTTTTTTCCGCCGTTCTTCCTGCTTCGGCGTAACCCTATTTTCCCATCTCGTCAATCGTTGGGCTGACGCCCGTCGCCCTGCAGCTTCTCGTCGGGCTGCCGCCTGTCGCCCTGCAGCTTCTCTTCGGGCTGTCGCCCATCGCCCTGCAGCGTCATCTTCGGGCTGCCGCCCGTCGCCCCGCATCGGCACTTCTATCACCCCGCAGCTGAACAGGTGAAGCCGCGCAGCTGAG